ATGTTATGGAACTACTATTGTGCTCTTGTGCAACCCCTGTTCCTTGAGACTCCTCCCTGTGAGTTGCATCTGAAAAAAATTCCTGGTATGATTTATTTGGAGTGCAGATATTGCATTTTGATAGGGTTGAGCCCAGAGTAAGTCACACTCATGGAGCAGACCCTTTGAAATTAATGGGCATGGAAAACTTAGGTCCATTAACTGAATAGGTCTACTCCAGGCAAAAGCTAGCTAGTTATTTAGACTCAATCCCTAAGTTTTGATTTTTTATTTTCCTTTATCTCTAAGAAACCCTACACCCATTTTGGGGTCTCTGTTCAAAGAAGTGTCTTTCATTCATTTTCACTGCTACTAACAGGATGAGTTTTTTGACAGGTTTTTAAGATTTATCCATGAATCTTGGTAAACATGTATTTTACAACGTTCTCTCCTTCTCTCTCTCTCTCTCTCTCTTTATAGCAGGTGCCAAAGCCTTTGTCTGTGACCACTGCGGAGCTCAGTTCTCAAAAGAAGATGCTCTGGAGACCCACAGGCAGACCCACACTGGTAGGTGTTCTGTTTGGGGGGTTCATTTGTTTTTTTCAAAAATCTCCCGATTTTGCAAAACAGTGGTTTGCTTGCAGAACGGCATTGTTATTCCAGAATTCCTGGAAAGATCATACATGAAATATCAAAGTGTGAGGGGAGGGGTTGCACATACAAGCCCCTCACCCAATGCACTGGGAAGGTCTGCAGGTACTTCTACTTGCCTTCGCTTGAGGGTGAATAGAACCCTTCAGGCAACTAGGAACTGCAATAAAGCTGGCAGGAGGCTGATGGAAACTGTAGTCCAATTCATTTGAAGCACATCAGGTTGGGAGAGGATGATGCAGGGCATTGAAATAAAAATGGGAGGGTGATCATCAATACATTTGCTGACTGAAGGCTGATGTACCTCTGATCGCCACAGGCTGATGGAAGGCAAAAACTTATCATAAACAGTTTGCTCAACAACCTGTTGCTCAACACAGATTGCTCAATTTCTAGTTTCAGTCTTGATCAATGTATTGTTTAATTGGACTCACCTGAGCTGCTATGTGTGAGATCAACAACTTTCCCACTGGAAGACTTTTTGGAGAGTTGCTTCATAGCACAGAACCTGTCCTTGTGAATGGTCTTATCCACATCTACCCAAGTGCCCTCCCTATGCGAAGCAAAGCATGCTTTGAACAGTGAATCATGGAGCTCCCATTGTGACTCGGTGGGATGGTGGTGGAGATAATGTATTCCTGAGAGCACTCCTGCCTTAGGTACTCTGATCATCTACAGCAGGGATGAAGGATCTGGTGAACTCCTGATGTTACTGACCTTGAACTCCCATCAGCCCCAGCCAGTCTGGGGTGATGGGAGTTAGAGTCCAGAGACCATATGGGAGGGTCTCCACCTTTGCTCTACGGGAATTTATGCTTGAGCTAATAACTTTCTTTCCAAGCATGCCAAGTTTAAGAAAATAGGCACGGTAAGAGAATTGGTTATGGTGAAACTGGCTGCATTCACATGGCAATTTATAACGTTTTCACAACTTTTCCCTAACAGTATTACATTTGAGCTTTCACACGGCATAAAAGTCAATTCTGGAACTGTAATGGAAGTTTAGTGCTCATTTCTGTGTTATTTGCTCCCAGGAGGAAAAAAATCCATTTGCAAATAATATGAAAATGAGCGCTAAACTTGCACTTTACGTTACTCTCATTCCACTCATAGTTCCAGAAGTGACTTTTATGCCATGTGAAATGGAAATTAACAGTTAGGGAAAGTTCATGCAAATGGAATGCACTGCCATGTGAATGGTGCCCAGTAGAGATTTTCTCTGCCACTGAATGGAGGAACAGTCTTGAACTGGTGGTTGATAGCAAGGGGAATTGGAGATGTATTGGCACCTGGGGCAAAATGCCCCACGGCCACCCCCACAAAGGGAAGGGGGGCAAACTCCATAAGGGCTTCTCCTTTCTGGATCTCCCACTCCCAACCGGTGGTGGAGCTTTGCTTCTCTCCTCAGGAAAAACCAGTGCAAAGCTCTGCCACTCCACCGGGTATGGGGCAGATCTCCTCCCCACCTGATGGCAAAGCTCAGCAGCAGAACAGGGGTGCTGACCCTTGGGGATGCCCTCTGAGACATCCGCTTCACCCCAACTCATGATGAGGGGCATCTCTGGTTGCTAGGAAGGGGCTCTCTCAGAAGTTGCACCTGCCCTTTCAGCACCTTGCTCTGCCCCATAGGTTTATCTCAGTGTTTTTTGTTTCTGTTTCGTTTTTTTGCAGAGGGTAGGAGGCAAAAGCTTCGCTCTTTATCATGGCATATTTTGTACTGCGATCGCCTCCTTTCACTGAGTATCTTGCTTGAACTTACTGGCTCGGAGGTCCCAGGGGAGGCTCCAGCTTCATTCACACTTTGAGCATGACTCTGCGCACTCCTGCGACTGAAGCGGGAGACAGCTCCCTCCCTCCCTCCTGGACTATATTAGGGCGAGCAAATCTTTTTAGTACCGATAAACCAATAAATGCCAATGAGGATGGAATGTATGAATCCGCAAGTTGAAATTTAACACCCTGGATGCTATCTTGGCTCCCAAATATACAACAGCTGACTGTGTGCACCAGGATTAGAAAGAGCCGGCATTAGACTGTACATGCATCATAGAGCGCAACCGATGCTTGCCGTGCCATTCGATCTTGCAACTTCATTGGCAAAGTAGCAGTTAATAAATTTCAGAATGATTGTCCTCCTCCTCCTAAGACTAGCCAGCTGGTTGATGTTGGCAGCAGATAAAGTTGTTTGTTACTAATGGAATTCACAGCAGAAGCATTTTCGGGAGGACGGGGGAGGAAGGGCTCCTACCTGGAATCTACTCCAGAGCTAAGGGATCAAGTAGCAAATATGTGTGGTTGTGTTACTTTCTCTTTCACAAAACCCCTGGTGCAGTGAGAATCCTGCTTTATGTGTTGATAGGCGTTGACTGTAATAGAAATAGGAACAGGTGCTCTTTCCATTTGACCTACATAGTTTGTGCAACGTGATGGCCTTTGAGACTCTTGGCGTATCTTCTTAACTGCAGAGTCACACCTGGTTTAACAGCCATCCCCTCCTTCCAGGGGATCCTGGGAACTATAGCTCTGTGAGCGGGGCTAGGGATCTGCAACAGACAATTCTCAGTACCCTCACTCAGTTCCCAGGATTTCTTGAGGAGCCAAGCGCTTGATATGTAGCCTCTGTAACTTTGCCGTGCAGTTCTGCCATGTGGAGAGTTGGGGCCGCCATTTTGGGCAGCAAACCAAAGCCATTAAACATGTGCAGCCTAAAAGTCAGAGGTCGCGCACCTGCTGTACACACATGAGCATCTTAAGTTCGGGTCCTGGCATCTCCAGTTAGAAGGATCAGATGATGGGCAATTGGAAGGACCTCTGCCTCAGACTCCAGAGAGAGAGGAGGTGCTGCCAGTCAGAATAGACAGCCTTAGACCAGGTGGATAGATAGTCTGACCTAGTATGGGGCAGCTTTCTGTATCCACATTCAAGGCCTCATAATGAAGACCCGCGATGGAAGGAATCTGGGCACAGAGTGAATCAACTATGTGTACATTTATAGTGGCATCACAGTGGCACTGCTAGCCAACTAGCAAAAGCCTTTGGGGTAACTCATTGCCACATTGCCACTGTGAGGTGGGAGCTAGCTGTGGGGAAGTGACTTTGTGGTGTCCTGGGCACATCAGAAAGCTAGCATGAAGCTTGGGCAACCTCTTGCCAGGAGCTTGGGAGACTTATACTGGCCACCAGTGGGATCAAGAATGTATGCAGTGAGGAAGTATGGCAGTGGGAGCCTTCTCTGATCCCCTGGGCTACCCAGGTGCACTATTGCGACACTCTTAAGTGTCTGCTTAATCTGTCGGCCACACAGAACCCAAAAGCAAATGAGCTGCTCTCTTTGTTGTCACAACTGAAACCAACACCTGCCTGGAAATATCACAAAGAGCCCGGATAGACAATTTGCAAATCTGAAAATAGGAATATGTCATTTGAAGAAACCCATGGATAAAAGTGCTTTCTCGGAGTGAAAGGGACCCATCCCATCCCCTCTTCCTTTCCATATGCTTCACCATGCAAGATAACGAAACAAAACTCCTTGCAAGTTAAAAGCTAGCATTTCAGGATAAATACCCTAGTCCAGTATCAGGCCTCAGCAAAGGCCTCATTCAAGTAGGTCAGAGACACGTTTGCATGTTCCAAAAATAGGAAGGGGTCAAGATCCATGGTGGATTGGTCAAGATGGATTGGGGAGCTGGAATTTAGCCAGTGCCTTCATCACTAGTAGACTGAGATGGTCCTGTAGAGGATCAGGCATGAGACTCGATGGTCCTGTCTCCATGCAAGGAGCTCTGTCTTGCAACAGGAATGGAGTGTTGAGGGCAGGTGCTGAGGTTTGACTGCTCAGAGCCCCAGTTCTAGACCCACCCAACGTCCTTAGTCTGCTGTGCTAGTTTCCTGTTTGGGAAGCTTGTGCCTTCAAGCAGGGCTAGCTGTGGTGGATGTCCCACATGGCAGTGGGTCCTTGTCTTAGCAGACAGATCCTGCCTTCTCTTTATTTCTGGGAGGTGACGGCAGGGGGAAGCGCCTATTGACAACAACCACAAATGAGAAGGAGGCATACAGTAGCTTCCTGAGGATGTCCCCTTCTGATGTATTCAGAATCCAGTACTGCCTCACCTGGAGCCTGAAGAAGTTACAGTCTGTGCTACCACCTCAGACCTCACCTGCCTCATTTGGCTGCCCAGATAGATGAAGCATTTCTGGCAGAGGAAGTGAGGCAGCCACAGTTCTGGAAAGGCTTGTAGGAACTATGGGGGTGTAGCAAGCTGACATATTCTAGGGCAGGTCACTCATCCATGTAGCTCAGTACTGTCTACTCTGACTGCCAGAGCTGTTTTTCAGGGTTCAGGCAGTAGGATGTTCCCAGCCCTATTTGGGGATGCTGCCAGGATTTGAACCTGGCACCTTCTGCATGCAAAGCTGGTGCTCTCCCAGTGAGATCCTGCCCTTCCTTTTGGTGGAGTTCTTCTGGCAAAATGGAATGCTCCTAGTGGAATGTCCATGACCAGCTCCTAAGTTGGAGATGAATTAGCTCACAAGGGAGATGTTCCCCCGGCAAAAGTCCAGAGGAGACTGGGAGACTTATATAGCCACTGCCAGTCCTTCCTCTTCCCAATTCTCTGCTAGAACATTGCTTGCATCTGGGTCCTCTCACCTTCCCTCCACAAGAGAGTGGTCTGGTGGCCAAATGGTTATTCCTTTGGCGGCTCTGGGCTTCCCATCAGTTCTGCTGCCACCTTTGATCCTGAGGCTGAGGGAGGGGGGGATGAAGCAGGGGAATCGGGACTCTGGGAGGGGTTGAAAGGATTATTAGGAGGCCCAGATGAAGCGTCTCTAATATGGGACTCTTCAGGCAGCCTTTGAACTCTTGTGGGTTCTTCCAGTTCTCCATCCTCTTTCTCCAAAGAGGTCCCTCCTGAGCCTGGCAGGATTCTGGCATGGGTCTTCTGCACCTCTTCTGGAGATGGAAGGGTAGGGGGTGGTAGAAGAACCCACCTGCCAATGCCATGCTGTTTCCCCCCTGTGAGGGGAGTCTTGTGTTTTTCAAGGCAGCTTTCAGTGATGGCTAATATTGCATCTGCCCCCTTCAAATAGAGGACAAGAGAGTTCCTAACGGTCAGGTTTCAATGATGACCTTGGTTGGGAGGGGTGGAGCACTCCTGGGACAGATTAAGTATGTTTTGATTTAAAACTTTGGGACAAGAATGTCGGTGGCTGCCAGCAAAAGCGGCTGCCCTGTCAGAGCTCAGAGGGTGACATGATCATGCAGAATCGAGGAACAAAAATAGGCAGCTCGAGGTCAGCGCGACCCAAGTGGAGCAGGTTTAGCATCGCCTCCTCGAGCTGTAAACAAGTGTGTCTCAGTTGCATGTCAGTAACTGGCTTTATGGCCAAAAAGTGCCTCCTTCTTGCCAAGAAATTGATAGCTTCCTCTTGCTGAGCAGGGCTGGAAATAGCACTGGTAGGAGGATCAAACTCTGAACTTGTTGGCGTTTTCTGAAGTGAAAGCTCCCTGCGCCTGGAAGAAAAAGACTCCAAGGCTTATAATTCCCCTAGTCCACTGTTGAAGTAGCAAGAATGACCCCTTCAAACCAGCAAAGTTGTGGTGGTGTTTTGGGGGCTGGAGTCCACCTTCCTGTCCCTTAGATTATTTGAACTTGGGCGCCAGGCAATTGCAATGAAGATAATAGCATGCAGATGAGACTTTCTGGATGAGGCCAAAGCCCTCTACTCACTGAATGAAGTGCCTCTGGCCCACCAGGTGCATTAGACTCCCAGCACCCTTGATCATGATGGCTGGGACTGGTGTGAGTAGAAGCCGGCTCCCCACCCCTGAGCTAAGTCAACCTGTTTATGGAGAGCAGGCCAAAGACTGGAGAAGGAGATGTGCATTAGCCCGTAGGCCCACCACAGAGGAAGACCTCCAAAGGTATATGGGGACTAAGTCATTTAGAGCATGATAGGTCATCATCAGTGCCTTGACTGGGAAAGCAACTTGTTTAAAACTGGTGCTATATGCAAGTAATTGGAAATATCCTGGCTGCCACCTTCAGATTTGTAGCTTCTGAAACCATTTTCAGCCCCAGGTAGTGCCTGTTAGCAAACTCACCAAGTGTCCCTGTTTTCCAGGGACAGTCACCGATTGACAGAAGCTGTCCTGGTTTCTGATTAGATCCAGGAATGTCCCGCTTTTCCTTAGGACATCCCTAGTTTTATCAGAGAAATGTTAGAGGGTATGCAAGAATGGAATCTGAAGGTTTCCAAGCAGTGGATAACTATAACTAGCTTTTTCTGGTCCAGGAAAGACCATCGCTGGTGAACCAGTGGCTACTAGCTACAATGGCTATGATCTACCTCCACTTGTGCCTCTTAATACCAGTTGATGGGATGGGCAGAAAGTCATTACCCTCAGGTCCTGCCAGTGGGCATCCCACAGGCCACTTTGAGATCAGGGTGTTGGACTAGACGGGCCACTTGCTTAATCTAGCAGACTTATTTTATGTTCTTAGCTAGTCACAGGCACTACAGGCCATTAAAACCACCTGGGCTTCCAGTGACAAAAAAATGGTCCCAAGAGTACCCCCTCTGAAGCAACACAGATACTCCTTCAAGGGAATGCAACTCCCAACTACCGTAGATCCTCCAGATCCTGGATTCAGGAATGGGCCAACGGCATCCCCTCTGTCTAGTCTGGATTCAGCTTCACTTTATTGTTGATGAATCTGTTTCTTTACAACCTATAAGAGCCAGTGCAACACAACAAGCTGACCTAGTGAAGACCTCTAGCAAAGAAACCCTCTATGTGACAGTTTGGTTTCTGTTCACCGTGCGGAAAAATTGCTCTCTCTCCCCTCGCAGTTCCCAACCTCCCTGTCCCCTCTCCTCAACAATTACGTATATTCAAAAGAGATCAAGACGTCTGTAAGCTGCTAGAAGACACTTTGGGCTCCATTGGTTTTTCTGTGGCTGTTCACATCACTTGGCCTCTGCATTCACAGGAAGAAATGTTTTGGCACCCTGCTATGCCTGGGGGAAAGGTGTAAAAAAAAGAGAGAGTAATATATATTTTTCAAATTAAAAAGGAATGAATTCAATCAGCACCAGCTGCTAGCAGCATGGTTGCAGTGTTCAGGTTACATGGAAAATGTAGCAGCAACTGGTTGTGTCCCTTTTTATTTCAAAAAAATGTAATAGCTGTTGACTTTTTTAAATATCAGAGGTGATTTGTATAGGATTTCCCAGGCTGGGCCAAAGTATTTCACATGCGCAAAAGACCGAGAGCAGAATGCTGTGTAACGTCAGCCCTACATAGGAAGCTTCTGTCCTGAGCTTGTGTTTGTACAGTCAATACCCTGGCATGGATTTACTCCTGACCTAGTTTTGCACTCTGCTACTACAGGGGCATGCTGGATGCCTAATATAGAGCTGATTTTCTTAGCATGTGACGTCTCTGCCATGACAGGGTCTGATTTGTGACTTGAGCGATGCTCTTTCATGTAGTATGGGCCCATTCCTCCTCAGTTTTGCCTGCTGCGTGGACCAGCGCAACTTTTGAAGCCCAAAACCTTCCGCGTGGACTGTGTGAACCTGGCACAGCCGAGGAAAGAAGGCAAACATCACATGGAGACTTAAATTGAGCACGGTGTCAAATTAGCATAACTTGGCCATCATAAAGACGTGCCTCATCTCTTAAGACAAAAACACAAGCAGGGTCTATTCAGATCCAATGCAAAGAAGCTGCAATTATTTTATGCATGTATTTGAGGGTGAGAGAAATAGCTTATGCTATAAAAGTTGCGGATGTGTGTATTTTGCCGCAGTGCCATTATACTCACCTTTCTTTCTGCTCCCACGGAACATGGCACACCCTTGCTTACATGATCTGAATGTTCTTACATTAAGGCATCTCCAACAAGGTGTGGGCCACAATCTCTTCTCTTTGCGTATCATCCTGGAAGTGTAATAACATGGGCTAATCTGTGCCTTCTGTAGTGAGGATTCTGCCGTACTCAGAGCCAGGGAGGCTGGACTGTACAGTCCTCAGTTCTGCTTTGCGGAATGAAACTCTTAAAAATTATCAGCTAAACTGCTTACCTTTGGGGCAAAGGACTGTTTTCACTGGTGAAAACTGGCATGCAACAAGGTTTTTCTCTCTCTCTCTCTCTAGCCAACTAAGTTCTCCTCAGACTCATGGGGTCTTCTCCAAGTAACCTCCACTCTGAGGAGACCTATTGAAATGAATGGACCTAAGTTAGCCATACCCATTCATTTTAATGGGTTAGCTCTGAGCATGATGGGATGCTAGATGCAAGCATTACGTTTTCAGCTCCATGAGCCCATTTCCCACTAATGCAAAGATTGTTTGTCATAGGTTTTGTTTGCTTAATTTAAATATAAGCTGTTAATTTCTTTTTTTAAAAAAAAGCAACAACAACTTGGTAGCTCAACTTGGCATTTTCACTGCGCATTTGCTAGCATCAAATTTCACCTGCTGTCTTCCATCCCTGCCATGCCCATTGCTCCTATACCCTGTTGAAAAATTATGTGGCATTCTCTGTTTTTGATTTTCATTGTCTGCCAGTCCCACAGTTATTCCATTCTTCACTCTGCAACACACACACACACACACACACACACACACACACTGTCTCTTCTTCCCAGATCATTAGTAAACATGTTAGAACATCCTTGCTCCCAGCAGAAAACGTCTTTGCTTCTTCTCTTGCAGCTTAGTCTTTAAACTGCCCTTCCTTTGGTCAAAGACATTCGGCTTGATCCTCTGTGTCCCCCCCCCCCCCGCAAACCTCCCAACTTCACTGGCAAAACCACCCACTAGCACCCAAATGGCAGAGAGGAGTTAATAAAACCAATGTGTAACTGAAACATGAAAAGCTATAAATTGTCTCGCGCTTCCCCTCTCCCCCTTCCCTAGGATGTTGGTAGCATTTTGATTTAATAGTTGGACAAACACAAGGGTCTATTTTATTCAGCGTTTACAGGCCTCGGGGCTGTTATTCTTCCAAATTTAATAGCATTGAAATTGCAGGGTTTGTGATAATTTGCCCATCACTTTCTGCGCTTCCATTGATGTTTATTGTCAGCGGGATGAAATCTCGATCCGATTCACTTAGATAACATGTCTGTTAAACATTTAGATAATTGTGCCATCATTAAGTTGTCACATTATTTTAGAGATTCAAAACAGTATCGTGGTAAGTGGAGGTACATGGAGAGGGAAGGGCGGTGGGGGGGGGGAGAGTCTTGCAGGAGCACAGCCATCTCGGGGAGTGAAAGGAGTCAGTCGTGTCACTGGATTCCAGCTCAGCTTATTATCACGGCAACAAGCCAGTTTGCAGCAGATAGATATATAGATATATAGACGATATGTTTGCTTCAGGCACTTTCTTGGGAAGTGTTAAAAAGTACTCCGTCTCCTGCCTAG